TTACGACACAACGGAAGCTTCTAAGAAACGGTTCAGTTGGCTTTTTTTTTATGACCCTATAAACCGGTTAGATTGTTTTCTTTAAGGTTTTACAAAACAATTAAGTTGTTTTCTTTAAGGCCCTGCAAAATGCTTAGGTTGACTTTCTTAAGGCCCTTCGAAAGGTTTGTTGGACTGCTTAAAGTACTGCAAAGCGATTCGGTTCACTTCTTTAAGGCCCAACAAAACGGTCTGGCTGACTTTTTTCTCCTTACAAAATAGTTGGGCTGACGTTTTTAAGGTTCTGAAAACGGTTCAGTTGGCTTTTTATGACCCTATAAACCAGTTAGATTGTTTTATTTAAGGTTTTAAAAAGGGTTGAGTTGACTCCTTTAAGGCTTTACAAAACAATTAAGTTGTTTTAAGGCCCTGCAAGGTTTGTTGGACTGCTTAAAGTACTGCAAAGCGATTCGGTTCACGTCTTTAAGGTCCAACAAAACGGTCTGGCTGACTTTTTTCTCCTTACAAAATAGTTGGGCTGACTTCTTTGAGGCTCTGAAAACTGTAGAGTTGACTTCTTTAAAGCTGTAGAAATTTTTAACGGTTTGTTTGTGATGAAAAAAGAAAAAATTGACTCACATGTACTTGTAATATTACGTGAATCTTTGCTTTTGCTTCAACAAAGTTTAATATTAATATTATTTAAATGGATGAAAAATGGAAATAAAACTAAAAAAAAAAGAAATAGAATCTGCTATAGCACGATTATTACTTAGGGGTGCAGCATCTAAAAATACCTTATGAACCGATATTCAGCAAGAAAATTCTGAAATGAAAAGATGAATACTTATGAACTTTAAAATTTTGCAGAGCAACTAATTAGAAAACACTGAACATACAACAGTACACGAGATGTAAATTTGTTTGATTTATTTAATTGATGAATTTTATTGAAGCGATTATCTCAGCAGCTAGCAACAAGTGTTTTAAGGAGTTTTACCTGTTATTCATTAATCAATTTCTGTCGTCTAAAATAACCGCGGTATAAGAAAGAAATGCTAATGAGAATCTATTGTTTATTGTCAGCGACATTTATTCAAAAACTTACGTTGAAGAGAAGAACGTGGTTCAATGATTTTACTTTAAGCTGTTTCATTGGTCTAATATCATCTGAAAGAAGATGATTTATGAGATTTTCTCAAAGTCGCTAAGTTTGTTTGTTTGTTTGTTTTGAATTTCGCGCAAAGCTACACGAGGGCTATCTGCGCTAGCCGTCCCTAATTTAGCAGTGTAAGACTAGGCAGCTAGTCATCACCACCCACCGCTAACTATTGGG